GGGGGGGGGGGGGGGGGGGGGGGGGGGGAGCCCAAGGTGTTGGATGGAGAACATGGCATGGGGAAAGAGGTGGTGCATTTTTGAAAAGAAGGCAGCCGGGCGGATGCCAAGAAGACATGCTTTATGCCCGGATGTGGGGGACGGATCCTGACGGTGAAGCCTTTTCCTGGCCAGAAGGATCAGAGGGCCTTTGGGGTGGGGGGGAGCAGGGCCAAAGAAAGCTAGTATTAAAATAAAACCCTTCTAATGCTAATTGCTCTTGGACGCCGAGGACTCCAATTCTTCTCCACCTTCCTTTTCTTCTCCTTCCTCAAACGTTTTTGCACCCCATTCTGGAGCCGAGCCGGGAAGACTAATCCATGGCCCGTCCGTTTGCACCCCGCGCACGATGCTGGGTTCGTTTGAACTCTTGTTGGTTTAGAGGTGAGTTTTCCTTTGGGTAGCTTCGCGGATCAAGCCGACCCAGGGCCTTTAAGAGGTCACGCTTTCCACAAACGTCTCAGATTCTAGATGCGTCGACGTGGCTCGCCATGGATCCCAACCCTGGATTTTCCTCTGCCGCCTTGCGTGATTTTTTTTCATTTATGAACTTCGTGGCATCCCCCTCCAAAAAGGTACAGTGAACAACCAGTTCAACTATGTTGAACTCCTGTTCAAAACCACTGCGTGTTTCAAAGAGAAGCGATGGAAGCTAATTAAAAAAGGAACAAAATACAAAGGAATTTTAAAAAAAATGAAAGAATAGAACCCAGCATTAAAAAGGGAAGCTACTGAAGCTAATTAAAACGAAACAAAAATATAAAAGGGGAATAAAAGAACAATGAAAGAGAAGAACAAAACAATAGAACGGTCAATTCACCCCAAAAAGAAAAAAAAATAACGATAGGACACAGCGGCTGAGATGTCAGACTTTCTCTGCTTTTTCTTCACCGAGCAAATCCTCAAGTTTGTGTGCAGAACCACAAATTAAACTTAGAACGTAAGGAGTCAGATCATCCCGTTTTGCCTCTCCATCAAAATAGCAACTTTACAACCAGTCCTCGCAGTTACAACTGTCCCGCGGTCATGTGATCAACATTTGTGTGCTTCACAGCTGGCTTCGGATAAACAGGGTCAATGGAGGAGTAACATTGCAAGTCGTGGTGTCTCGCTTAATGACCCACGGTATTCGCTGAACAACCGCAGCAGAAGTGAGGTCGTAAGCCTGTCGCAGTCAGCGTCTTTCAGCGAATGATGATTGGGTCGGTTGCATGGTTCTGAATCTTAGCTCCATCGTGGTCCGTTGCCGAGTGTTGAGCAAGCCTGACCAAGCGATTCATTCCCGTGCAGGACCAAAGTCTGGGCTTTTCAACCCCTTCTCCCATCTTCCGCCCCACCGTGGAGGGCAGCGAGGGTCGGACTCTGTTCGGTGTGCGCGTTATAGCCGTGCGTTCCCGTTTTCTGTGTTTCATCTTGGGCAAGGGAGCGCACAGCCTGAGTAAAATAATACAGCTTGGCTGAGTTTGAACCGCACGCTTCCCAAGCCAGCTGGAAGGGCTTTGTGCGACGGGCCCACCTTGGTTAGCTTGGGCCTCGGGTTTTTTTTTAAGGCTTAGGTGGTTGGGGAAACCCAGTCCCTTCCCGGAAAAATACATGATTTGAGAATTCTGGCTCTGGAGCAATTAAATTAAAAAATGTTCAGAGCTAATATATAACGATGTCCGGCAAGGAGGGGAGGGAAGTCCCGGTCAGCACGTCGGTGCCCGCGGGCTCCAGGTTGCCTGCTCCCTGGCAGGGAGCTTTTGATCCGAATTCAACCCCCTTCATCCGAGGCTACGTTGCATTCCCGACCACTTCCTGAGTGTTTTCCAGCATCCTGAGGGAATGGATGACACGGGGGAACCCAGCTTGCTATCCCTCCTGCCTGGATTTGCCAGCTCAGCAGCTCGCAAGTTCGCTGGCGAGGAGGGCGTTTGCCGGTCGGCGCGCCGGCTGGCTGTCTCGCCGGCTCACTCCCTGCAGAGCCCGCGGTTTCACTGCTGGTGCTTCTCCATCTCTCTTCACACTTTGCTTGGCATGTCCTTGGAAGCTGGTTTCTTGCTGCCTGCCTGGCCTGCCATGGAGCAGTTGGCCTGCCACGGGTTAAGCCTGCGCGTTGGGGACAGGGGCCAAGCATTGCTCGAGCCCCCCCAGAACGCCAGGTAGGACCATCATCCAGGTGAATCCTAACCCGTCTGGAGGCCTCCCAAAATCGCAGGACCGTTGTTCCCACCAGCAACGGGTTGCCTGGCTGTGATGGGGGCATTGGCAATCCAGCCCTTCTGGGAAAGATTTAAAAGATGCATCCATTTGGGATCCTAAATTCCCCGAGGAACTTGATTCTCCGTGCCCCGCTAATGATCTTCCAGGATGGTCTTTCCTCTGAGGGGCTCCAGGCTGCGACAGTGACACCCTGACCTATTTTAACCCCCCCAACAACCCTGCAGATTTGCTCCCTGGCAAGATAACATGGCTCCAGAAAAAAAGAGAAAGAAAACTTTTGGGGTGGCGGAGTGGGACCCGACACACAGATTGTGTTGTGCTGCATTGCAAAGCCTCTCCCCCCCCCCCGCGCCCACAAAGGGTGGGTGTGGTTAGCTGGGGGACGAAGGTGTCAGGAAAGGAGAGAGAAACGCTGGTGGAATTGGAAATAACCGGACAGCATTCAGATGCAGATCCGAAGAATTCCCCTGCTATTGAAATCCAAAGCAGAGGGGAGCCCCCCCAGCAGAAAGAATGCTAATCCGTTGCCCCCATCCAGAGCTTGGTTTCCATAATCCCTTTTGAGTTGGGGGTCTGGAAGTTGGAAAGGGGGGAGGGAAAGCCTCTGAAGCATTCCCTTGTCCCTCAGCGTGTGAATGCTATAGACCAGTGTTTCTCAACCTTGGCAACTTTACCGTGAGTGGACTTCAACTCCCAGAATCCCCCAGCGTTGAATCCCCACATCTTAAAGTTGCCAAGGGTGAGAAACACTGCAGTAGACCAACCGTGGCGCTTTGGTTGGGCAAAGCGAGGATCTTCAGCGGGGATTGGCACGGATGAGATAAGGAGAGGGACTTGCAAGTTAGCAATGCTCTTGAGGATCCTTCGAGATGCCAGTCGCTCTGAGAGGCCCTTTCTTGCCCGATTCCATTCCATCCTTCCAGCCCTACCAAGAGACTCCCGTTCCTCTCCCCTTTATTTTTCTTTTTAGGGGGATACAAGGGAGGAGGCCTACCGATCTTAAAAGGGCCTTCCTCTTTGTCCATACAGTCCCTTGCAGAGTGAATCCGTTTTGGATCTGGGAGCAGGGATGCTTGGAAAGTGAAGTCAAATCTGAGATGGAAGCTGACCTGGGAGGGTCGAGTTGTGGGGCAGTGCCAAGTCAAAATGTGGGTACAGGGGAGCCATCGGATGCCCTTCTGGGGGATGGCAGAAGCCAACGAAAGCGGGCATCGCAGACGGCGTTCGTTCAGATCCGGACGTTGCAGATCTCTTGGGGCAGCATTTCGTTTTTTGCTCTACCCGTTTTTTGAATCGGGACCAGGACGAGCCCAGCCTGTTGATAGGGCTGCCCCTGATCCCCAGGGACAGGATCCCAATCTGGCATCTTTCTCCACCAGCCTGGAGTAGCTTTCCCGGGATCTCTGGGGGGATCGGCGGAGCACGGTGTAGCGGCGAGACGTTGAACAAACCCAGCGAACCAGAAGGGCCTCATTCAATTTTAACGAGCGCCGGGTAGTTAAAAAGGGAAACCGGAAATAGGACGGCGGGCAGGAGTTGGGGGAACCTTGGGGAATGGAGGGGTGAATGATTTGATTGAATCGTCCATTTCTGCTTGGCGGAGTTGGATGGCAGAAGAGGAATCTGGCTTCTTTGTCGAGAGAAAGAGAATTCCTCTTCAGGGTTGGCGGATCCTGCACTATAATCGTTTCACGTTGCTTCCTCGCCCGCTGGCCCGGGCACGTCAGAACGGCGTTTGGGGATCCTGAGCGGGTGGCCGAATGTCCGTTTAGGTGCTGTTTGCTGCAATTAGAAGAAACGACCTTCGCTTCGATCTGGCCCGCTTGTGAATATCTTGTAGGAGCGGATAGACCCTTTGCGCATGGACAGGGGGCCTCTTGCCTTCTCTCCCAATTGTGTAATTTCACCAACCATCCTTTGAAATCAACTCCTCTTTGGAGAGCTGAGTTTTGGGGGAACTCTTCGGAAACGGAGCAGGAGTTTCGGGACCCCCGTAAAAGACTTGGCAGTCCAGAAGCCACCTGCCAGGATTAATCCCACCTCCTCCCGCCGTGGGAGATTTGGGCATGGCCCGGGGCCCTCAAAATGCCAATTCCTCACCCTGCTCCTGAATCTCCAATTTCAGTGCGGCCTATCTTGGGTTGATCGTGCCCCCTTTTCGTATCTGCTTCTCCGGAGTCCGTTGGAAAGCAAGTAGCTGATCTGTGGCCTGCAGAAATATATATATGTTTTGCAAATTATTTTCCAGGGGCTGAATGATCCCCACAGGGTTGCCTGCAAGCTGACCCCAGTTCTGCTAAGGCCTCTGTTTGTGGTCTCCTCATAATTTGTGCTTCCCCATCAGCTCTCTTTTCCCACCAACTTCAGCTGGGAGCCCTTACGGTGCCCATCCACCCTCATGCCAAGGCCTCTGCACCACCCCACCGCCCCGGCGGTGTGGTGCTCCTGCCTGCATCTTCTCACGCCCACTGTATGTTTATTTATTTAATGAATAATTTATCCCACTCCGCTTGACAATCTCCATTATCACGCCCCACTCACTGTTGCTTGCTCCAGCTGCAGAGTTTCGCCCGACCCCCCCACTCCCGAGCAATGATTTATTGAACACTGTCTATGCACTACACGAGGAACTGTCACAGGAAGCCATGGTTAAATATTAAGCAGACCAGGAGGAGGCAAATCGCGCACTAGGCCTCCTAGTTCTCCCCACTTCCCCCCCCATTGCGAACATGCACCCTTGAGATCTCTCTGCAAAGGAGAGATTTGATATATACAGATTTTTTTCCCCCTTCTCTGCACGTGCGGCTTGCAAGAAATTTGAGAAGAATGGGCGGGCGGGTGAATGGGTTGACATTGTAGTTGCTGACTAGTGGTGGTTAGATTGGCACTCGGTCTCCTGGGCCACCCCACAAGGAGGAATATGCCACAAAAGCATTTCTGCTATTTTCACACTTCTCATCTTTATCTCCTCGACGAATTTAGTGGCTCGGCTCTCCTTGTTGCATCAACATAACCGGATGCTAGCCTGGCAAAGGAATTTAGAAAATGAGGGCTCGGGTGCTTCCTTAATAGCCCCATTTCACAGTCCAGGAAAACCGAGGCTGGGGAATCGTTTACAGAGGCGGAATTTATTAAGGCCGGACCTTCGGCTTTCTTTAGACAGTGCGTCCTCAGGTGCTTCGGAATGGCGTTTGGTCGCCCAGCACCGGTCTGCCGATCCACGAGAGGGGCTGTGGGGTGGCTCGCTTCCAACACGAGCGTGGCATCCGTTGGCAGGCCGTTTTTTTTCTCCCCCTGCCTGGCGTTCTCCCAGTTGCTAGCATGTGGGAACGTAGCCGCCTGCCATCAGTGCGGGGAAGTGAGTCACAGCTGAAAAGCGACCAATAGCCACCCCCTCGCGCTCCACCGAGCCAGATCCAGGTGCCCGTATTTGATCCTGATTAGTCGGAAAAAGGGTGGTGAGTTTGGATGGGTCCAAGGCCTGGCACAGGGAGACTTTGGGGCTAACTGGCATGGAGGTAATATTCCTCACACTGGTGGCCGGTAACTGGGTTGGAACACGTGTGTATAAAATCTCAGCAATCTTAGATACACATCCTTAGGTCACAAGCATGCCATTTTCCCCATGTGTCTGTATTCTGCAGGTGCCACGTTGGGCCTCAGGGTTCCTGCCAGCGTGGCACCAACCGTAGCGCACGTGGCAGTTTGTGTCGGGGGGGAGCCGTGTTTGTCTTCTCCCTCTGCAAACGCACACTCTGTAAGGGGAGTTATTTCTGTGTCACCAGGCGTGTAAGAGTGGGGTTTTCCCCCTCCTGCGCACGGGTGACAGCGAGTGGCAGAAGGTGGCGACTGGCACACTGTGACAGACAGAAAGACAGCACATTTCTCAGTTTCCTGCCACGAAACAACAACCGGATAACCGGATAACCCGTTCCTTGCTCTGTCTTTCACCATTCCACACACACAACAGCATGCACACACACACGCACGCACGCGCACACACCCTTCTTTGGCTGGCTGCCAAGAACTCATCTCTCCCTGGCACTGCCCGTTCTTGCTTTCGGCACTGGCTGTGCCGTCAGCCTGCCACGGTTCCTGACGGCTGCGCTGTGGGCGGGAGACAAGGGGGGGCCGGTTTAGCAAGCAGCGGGGCTCAGTCTTGTCACTGGGGGAAAGCCAACGGGAGGGTGCCAAGCCAGCACTGCTGGAACGGCCTCCGTCACAGGCGTTGGCAAACTCCGCAGCCCCGCAAACAAACGGGACAACGGGCGATTGGCACTGCACGTCCATTCTGCGGATGCCCTTGAGAGGAATGAGCGTAGCGTTCTCCGGCGAACCAGCGTACCCACGCAGCCGTGCTCCGAAACGAGTCCTGCAGGCAGCAGCGTGTTTCTTCTGTGGCTTATTTATTCCATTTCTATTCCGCTGCCGTGGTACTTCCTAGACCATGTTCCCCAACCTCCAGACCGGGCCAATATTGTCCCCCGTCCCCCCGCCACGGGGCAGATCTGAAGGTGACACTCTTGCATCCCCCTTTCCTGCAACGTTGACTTCATCCCGACGGGGAAAGGGACCGTTTTCGGCTTGGCCGCGCAATAACGGGCCGCGCATCTTTCCTCACACATGTTTCTTCCGTGTTCTTTTCATTTCGGGAAAACTGAGCGGGCTTCCGTGGATTTTTCAAGGCCGGACCGCCCACGTGCTATCAGTAGCCTTTGAAGTCCTTGAACTGTTCGGCTCCGAAGCCTCTTAACTCGTTCGGCACGGAGTTTGTGAAAACCGCCTGCTGGGTTTTGAGGAGATCCATCTTCACGCATTTTCGGTTTTTGAGGAAGTTTGGCCTTCTGAAAGAGCCAAGTCCTTTGACAGCCCTGATCCTGTGCCCGTCCGGTTCGATTCAGATGTAGCTGGCTTGGCCTACGGGGTATCGCAGTGGCACCTTTTGAAATGGGCGAGTTTTCCTAAAACGTGATTTCCGATACAGACGGTGCATCTTCAGCGGGATTCGATCGATCGGTCCTGAATCGTTCGTATAGTCGCTCCCATAAGAGATGGTGGAATTTTGGTTTGGGTCACGGTCCGAATGGGACGCCTCCTCCGTTTCCAACATCCGTCCGTCCTTCACGCTTCACATTCTCGGAAGACGGAGCCGTGCCCAAGAGGGTGGAGCTGCTGGCCTCGCTGGCTTGGCGATCCTCCTTGGTTGGGGGCAGTCTACCTTGAAGGGAATCTAGAACAAAAGGCCCCCGGGGGGGCATTGTGCTGCTCATCGGAGGTTGGGGCCGAAGAGGGATTTTGGGATCCAGCGAAACTCAAATGATCATTCTCAGGGGCAAGGGAAGCCTCTGAATCAGCCGGTCTCCATCCAAGGGCCTCTAGATGTGCAAGAGAATCACTTTTATGTGAGATGGGCGGCTATATAAATACGATAAATGAATGAATGAACTAGAGAGATGAATTAAGAAAGTGGGGGAGCCCACCCCCATTTCCTTGCCTCCCCCTCCAATAAGAAGAGCTGGTTTTGACACGCAGGGACTCCGGCATGCAGCAGGTTAATGTGCAGCTGTGTCCCACGTACCCTGAACCACCAAATCATCTCGGGCTGCCTCCCCCACATTTCCCTCTCTCCCTCCCTC